CGGTCCCCACATGGGACAAAACTTTGTGAGATCCACAAAGTTTTGTTTGTTGTTTTTTTTGTTGTTCTGAGTCTGGGTGAACTTTGTTTCCTCGATCTTCGGACAGGTACATATATATTATACCTGTAAGTGTACGTATTTGTAAATGTACGTAGCCATTTGTAGACTATCTAATCGGTCCGGAAAACGTATAATTATTGAATACTGTTTTCTTTTCCAAACAAAATATTCACACCTCTGTTTGGGTCCAGATTTTATCCAAGCTTGTTGATAAACTATATTGGGACCATTTAAATTTTTATTTATCATAGTACAGAAAAAATAACATCTGTCAACAGTGATTATTACTTGGTTAAGTTGACAAGTTCCTGTAGTAGATTGTCTCGTTTTCGTTACTTGATTATTATTCCTGGAATTGCTCTAGGCCCATATCGAAATTACTTTCGGCACAATATACTGAACAGATAGGTAGATATATACTTATTTCGGTTATCGGCTACGGATATGAAATTATTTCGGATTATCCGATAGTTTCGGATAATTTTATATATTAGACTTTTAAGGTGAAGTGAGGTGGTAAGGCAACGCACACCGTTGAAAGAAGATGTAGCGACAAAAATTGACAAAAAGGCACAGGTACTGCGATAATTTGGGTATGTTGAAATGATGTGCGAGGAGCGAATGATGAAAATGATTTTTGAGGCCCCTGTGAGTGCGTGAGCTGGTGCGGGCAGTCCCTTGAAATACATAATGCTGACCAGATCGCCAGTGTACTAACGGAGGGTCTTTTTAAGAGTACCCGTAATCGGCAAGCGTGTGTGAAAGGCTTAATGATTGTGGAAGAGGCGTGAGTTGTAAGTCAGGATAGTGGATAATGACTACCTTTATGATAATAACAACAACCAAGCAAACACGCAGAACCATAAAACAAACAAACTCACTTTAACATTTCTAATTTGTGATCAACAAATTGTTGTTCTGAGTCTGGGTGTTCTTTGTATCCGTTACCATGTATTTTTATAAAGTCTCCCGCTACATAGGATATGTTCCTAGTGCGGGAGTTGTTTTTTAAATAATAATATTATAAGTATGGATCATGTAAAAACTTTTTGGGATAAATTTAATTATTTATAATAACAAATAGTATTATAATGACAGACATAAACGACAAGTTAAGAGTAAAAACAAATTTGCTTATTCAAGTTATATAAATCTTAATACAATAGGTAATATTCAAGTTTCTTTAGCTTCAACTTTAAGTGCTATTGTTTACTTAGTTATTGTGATAAATCTACATCATTCAAAGTTTAACGACTAATAGTACTGTTTCAAACAATATTCTTAAGCTATATTTCTATTCGCTTTATTTCTATTAGCTTCATTGAGACAAATATCAAATCTCACAGCTTTGAGAAGAACTACGAAGGCCGTATAACAATATCTGAGGGCCAACGTTTATATAGGTACTATTATGTAAGCCTAATATTATTTAAACGATAATTTCTTCTTCTTTTTAAATAATCTTTCCAAACCGATCGAGAAGACTGTTTGAATAACACAAACATAGTTTGAAACACCAGTCGATGTGTCAAAGAAAACAGAGCTATATAGTAAACACTGGTAAACCAACCAATAAACATTAAAAAGAAGTGAGCTATTAATGCCGAATCACAAATCAAAGCAACTCCTACCAGAGACAATACATGGTTTATTTTTCTTTTAGACATACTCCTTCGACAGCACGCCATTACAGATATCGCAATTCTAATAAATATTAAAAATATTAAAGTCATTAATATTAATGATGTATGAATTTTCACAATTAATATTATAACTTCAGTTGTGTCACTGTCCAATTCAAATATTTCTGGGATAATGACGTCAGTTATAAGTTTCATCAGAATGACAATTATATACGTGATCACAGTTATCTGCCTCTTTTCATCACTAATCCTTCCGGGGTAAATCAGTACAAGTCTTATATAGGCAAGCAATGAGTTAGAAAGAGACCAGCATAGAGTTATGCCGAATAAAAATCCAGTAAGACTTGCAATAGGGATGTCCAATACAATGCTTTCTTCCAACAAAAAATCACTGATTGTAACGCCGATCAAATGTAGTGTTCCAATTATGATTTGATTGAGGCTTATGTAGTTTTGTAAAGTCCGCCATCTTGGAACAAGACACCATGTTGTCACTAATGGTATAATACACAATGTTGACGCGATACATCCAATAATGTACATAATTTTTACAGTAAACATCTTTTAAAACTTTATTAAATTGCACTGTAAGCAGCTGTCCTGCATGGGAAACCAAAATGTACTGTTTATTTCATGATGTTGATAAAGCTTATCAAAACTTTTCAGTGTTACTTTTTTTAAATGTTTTTATTTAGCCGCAAACTAATGAGGACGAATTAATTTAATTACTTTGGTCACCATATATGATTACGTATAATAATCCTTAATAGGCGCATTAGTTTATTTATTAATAAAAATAATAAATTTTATCTATAAATTCGTACGATTGTAACTATAGGATTTGAGTTTTAGCGTGTGTCAGTTTATTTTAAAGATGTGTTATTATCTATAGGTATATAAAAGGTAGGCGTATAAAGTAGTATGATAAACGAATAATTCATGTGAAAAACTTTTAACTTTGTCTTGAACAAATAGATTTACTTTTATATGTATTTCTGTTAAGACAAGACGTGTAGAGCTGTAAATTTCACATCAATAAAACATACTACTGTATACTATATGATGGTTTAATTTGCCAAGTTTTTTTTTTCAGAACTATATTTAAAGCAAAAATAAAACAGTAATATGGGTAAAACTTGTCGTCAACGTCGTCATATACAAAAAGATTATGACTTTTGAAACGTACAGGCAATAAAAGCGACTTAAATAGAAAGTTCGTGTCGCCGAGATTCTGATAAGCTCATCATACATTTTTTATGTATAACAGGCATTTAAATTCAGTATTTCCTCTAATAATTGATTCTTTTTCATTGTGCTTTTGAAGTAAATGTGATCAGAAGATTTCCTAATAATTAAAAACAAACGTTGAATTAATATTAAGTCACGTAATATATAAACGTTGGGTGGCTGGGTTCAATTAAAAATCTTGCTTAACATTTTTAGCCTATCCTTGATTGCGATCGGAGAAATTGCAAACGTTAATTGAATTCACCGCCGGCAAACGTGCTAACGAGCATCTGATACCGCTCTTAGCGACGTGAATATCACCAGATTTATGCACTCCACGGTTTCTAAAGCCTTTGCCAGCATTTATAAGCCGCAATTGCTCTTACACATTCTTGTTTTTGTCGATAAGATTCTGTTATATGGACTTGGATGTGCCATTGGACATAGTAACGTTCATATCAATGATAATTTAGAATTGAAGAAGAAGAAGTTTAAAACCGGTCTCGAAAAGCATAGAGTGTTGTATACATACAACACTATATGCTTTTCGAAAATAGGATAGGTTCAGAAGTTTCTAAAACCAATGAGTCTAAATAAAACCAAAAGTTCTAACTACGCTAGACCGTGACATGACAGTTAAAATGACAGGTCAAAGACCTATTTCTTAGCGTTCCATGGATTCACCGTGCGGGTGCCGGGTCAAACGCGTGATAGATGGGGGCAATACATGCGAACAACAACGCCTGGCAATTGCGCAGGAACGGGTGTCGTGTTCCTACAACACAAAGGTAGGATCCTCCGACCAGCCGAGGTTATCATGCCTGGCGGGCCGCGGCCCAACGGTTGATGTTGGGAAGTTGTATATATGCTAATCGGCGCGAGAATTCTTCATATCGCGATACAGGATTAGAAATTCTCATTCAGGAGTTTCTACTTAGTTCGGTATGTCTTCGTTAGATGGCGCTATAGATGTTTCTTTGTTTCATCGTAAGTGAAAGTCGCCACATAGGTTTAGGTAGTACTCCTTGCGACTCGTCAGTGCCACCTCCACTGTCTGCTTTGTTACCCCCTCTTGCTAACCATATTTGATACGAGCCTAGCAATGCCGCTTCGGATATTCGTTCAAGAAAAAAGCTAGGTACACATGTTGTGTTAATCATATACCTCATTGCACTTCATCTGGTGAAGTGAAATCGAACTACATAGAAACGTGATTCTGCATTGCGCAGAACTGCTTACCGTCCATCGTTATACCACAACCTTGTCACTGTCAGTCTGGTCCTCTGTACTTTATGTGAGAAGGATGATTCAATACATTATTCGGATTAATCCTCTCTCTATTGAACAAGAAAATAAAACATTCGGCTGAAATATTTATTGACATTATTACATAGTTTATTTAATGATTTTTATCACAATATTTGTGCAAATTGAATGTTACTATCAAATAAATTGAAGTCAACCGAAATCTACGAATAATTAATGCCTACTATTATACTTTCTTCGGGTCTATGTTATAAGTAATTTCAACACAAGGGTTTAATATAGGCTATTTAACATGTTAAGGATAGCGACATTCATAGACATGAACGTCCATATTTTCTAAAACACTTTATAACTTTTACTGTTTTTTTTTCATTCTTAGTTTGTGTAATACATTTCCTCGATTTCATTAATTCTTTTCAAACGGCTTTGATCGTCATCACAGCGAATAGGATATCCATTCAATTTCTCTGTGATGTCCAATATTAAGGCATAGCGTGATTTTCTTTTAAAGCTTAAATATCATCTGTGCCTGATAAAGTGTAAATTTTATTTAATATTTACAAAAAATGCTTAGAAGTAAAGTTTGAATAGACTTAACTACATTGTAATATGTAATACACAAATGTAATATATAATGTAAGTATATAAAACATTTTTTAAATGATGATCATTTAACAAATGGATACGTTTATTATTAATGGGGTTCTTTCTTAAATCTTAAACATGTTTATACGCCCATACTATTTATTTGAATATGTTAATTTCATATATGTAATTAAGTAAGGAATTGTCACTGAATAAGATTTAGTACGGTACGAAGCTTGAAATTTGTTCTTCAATCCAGTTCTTGAAGGAATAAACCCTGCTGTAGACATCAGGGTAGCCACGGGCACAAGGCATGCCCCAGGACACAATTCCCACAACAGTATTACCCTCTACAAGTGGACCCCCAGAATCACCCTGGAAACAAAAAAATGCTATTGGTCATGTTTACGTTTATAGAAAGAATACAGAATAACCGACGGACTATTAAAACTTAGGTACCCAGGTATCCAGTTCAATGTAACGTCATTCCACAGTTATTTGATTAAACAGGCAATTTTCGGCAAAGTATAAAAAGCTAAAAATGTTGATATTTTAGATCTAAAGGCTGATTAATAGGTTTTATCTTACATGACAAGCTCCTTCTCCAGATTTCGTCAGAGAACAGATCTGGCTCTCGAAGACTTGGTGGATATTACTGTAGATGTTCTGGCAGCGTTCCACACTCAGGGATGTCAGGTTGATCATCTGTAGTTGCAATGGCAACGTGCCGGGGTACTACATAATTTGAAAAGGAAAAAAATTCAATCTATTTAATTACATGTTGCAATATTGTGTCCTATATGCTCCCAACAATAAGGGAAGGTCCGGCCAAGCTAAGTGACGTTACCTGAGAGTATATGATGTTGAAAATTGCACGTAAACTAACCAACCAGAGAACTGTTATTGGGCGCTTATTTAGTGTGTACCTAATACTCTATGTGGATGTACCCGTTATTTGAGACATCTTACACACGACCATCTAATCGCAAACTACGCACGACCATGGTAATCAAACTGCTAATAAAAATATTTATAAATGTCCAAACACATACAAACATTAATGAAAGGATAAAGCGGTCTTCTACGTCCGCGTAGGGAATCCCCAGCATGAGTAAAATAGTATACTCTTTATACTTGTTATTTCAAAATTCTTATGTTACGTCAGTATGAGTAAAAGCAAAATAAGTCTCGTGACAGCTTTTTAGTAATTGCAATGTGGCCTCGAGGCATCGTGACAGCTTATTTTGTGTTTCTGTCCAACTACGTATTAAGAATAACATGACAATATGTAAACCAAATAAATTAAGAAATACCTTAATATGTTTGGTAAAAAAATTCATATGAGAGTAATATGTGAGAATTATTTTGTCTAGGAGACCATAATTTTTTGAAGATGTTGAGAAAGCAACTTAACTTTGAAACTCAAATTTCCATTCTTAAAAACAGTTTTTTCCATTTGAGTGAAGTAAATTACGGTTCTATTTCTATTTACGATAGACTTATCTGGTATCACAGAATATACATTATTTGGGGTTTTAATACGAATTTTGAATTCAGGATCAAAGCAGTTTTTCAGATTCTTCAATTATAGATTTTCAAACTTTTCACAATCGATTATCACATGACATCACATCACATCAACAGCCTTTAATAGTCCACTGCTGGACATAGGTCTCTCCTTAGAAAGGAGGATCGATTATAAATAGCTAATAAAAACCTAGTTTTCTTTTATTTGGAACGGCCACATTGAGAGCAGACCTGTTTCATTTAAATATCGAACTGGATAAAAATATACGGTAGTATACCTACCCCAGTTTCTGTGAAATAAGTTGAAATGAACAAAACAATTCACTATTTATGATCAATGAGAACAACAAACTGACAGATGCCAGAGAACAAAAAGAAAACAAAGCTGACCTATATTATGACTGTATTCTCAGACAGTGTTTTGTGGTTTTTTTGTCTGAGAATTTCGGCACCCCTAATGACACAATTACGGAGTACTCCACGTGATACGTAAGCGGTTGATTTTAACAAGACTCATATTTTTGTACAATCTATACTGTATACCATTTTTTGTGCACTAAACTCAACTTTTTGAAAGGGCGGTACGAAATGAGACCTTCTATTGTATTGTTGAATTTAAATTTATTACGATGTTGTAAATTAACAGCGGTAGATAGTTGACTGCTTTATCCCCGGACCGATACGAGCACCAAACTTTAAAGAAAAGACTGTACCGTACCTCAAATATGAAAAATAACAATTTTAAGTTGAAATATAACACAAATTAATACTCACAGAAGTTCTTCCCCATCCACTCAACATCAGCTCTTTTTCGGCTCCAGTGTCCTCAGAAGGTAAAGCGATTGGTTGGACCCTCTCACTGAACTGGATATCTCTCGTAACCCTGATTAGACTGACGTCGTTCACGATAACATTGCCGTTGTAGCTCTCATGGATTATGATCTCCTCCACAGCGTACCTGTCACCTCCAAGGATGAGACTGTTGGTGCCGACGACTACTTGCATCAAGTAGCGAGATTGACTTAAAAAAAAAAAAACAAATTAGTGAGTTCTGCTAAAGTAGTGGACTTTTGAAATTTTGACAATTTTTCCTTCCTACTAAAAATAAATGTTTTATATATATAAATGCATAGGTGCATGCTATTTAAAGGTAAAACAAAGCTAGATGTTTTATATTTTTTAAATACAAATTTCTTTTAAATTTGAAAATTAAAATAAGTCGACTCCTTTTAGATAGTTATATGATGATGATAGTTCGTTGTAGTACCTACAACGCTTAGCTATCCATGTAAATTAGAACAAAAGGCAGCAAAATAGTGGTTGATTAATTGTTTGATTAATTATTTGCAATTGCATTGCAATCTGATGACAGTTCCATGAATTTCAGGATTTACCACAATCGGAACAGCATTTGAAATCTCTAGGATATTTTTTAAATAGTAATCATTCATATTTTATACTGGCAAATAGTTTTTAAAACTGTAAAAGAATAAGGTGAAAGTACTTTTGAAAGTCGACTATTTAAGGTGATCAAGGTCGTGAAAAATGGATGGTGTTACGAGGACCCGAGGCCATTGCAATGTCCCTAATTATCGATTAGGTCCTTGACCTACTTACGCACTCTACCTTCGACGAATGTTGTGAAGGGTTTCGCTCATATCTGTCATCTCTCATCACATTTACTCTTTTACGGTTGCTTTTACCGAAAATTGCATAGTTAGCAGTTTGTTATGTGCAAATTTAAATTTAGACTGAAATTACTCATTACACATTAATACTTAAGGAAATTTCTTTGTGTCCCTTTTTGACTAAATATCGGTGCTCGGAGGAATATCATTTGGAATACTTAATGTTTATATGTAGAAGCTTTTTTAAATAATATGCTATATAGTTAAAAGTTATGTAAAAACGACTACATAGAACATTTCAGGGTCCAGTTTATATTTGAATCTGTCGCTAGCTGTACCCTGCCACACGTCGCTCTGGCACTTTGTGGCTGCGTTGATGAGATACGTGGAACAAAAGTGACCCAAAAAGTAGATGAAAACTATCTATAAAGTGTGTTGTACATGGTGTCAAAATTTGATCTCAATCGGTGCAGAAATTTTTGATTTTTTGAAGCGTACACAAACCAACATAGGCAGTACAAAAGTCTGTAATACAACATTAGTTCAAGTTATACTGGCCGGTAAAATCTCTAGTAACTATATAGGCCTAATTTTTGATAATATATAGTTTTTATCTCAGACTTCATGAGACACAAATTACCAATAAATGACGACATTTTAAGTCACATTAATAAATTACAATAGTTTTACTATAACTATTTGTATATATTCGAAAAACTATATTGTAGTGTAAGAACTGCCTGTAAGTAAAAACCACAGCTGATGGAATACCGAATTCGCTTATTATAATAAAATAAAACCAAAAAAATATTAATTTAATAGTTAGTAAGGTCATCAACTATACAAAGTTACCCACTTCTGATAACAAAAATCTACTAGTGTTAGAATTATTATTGCCTGAGAAATGTCTGTTCTTTCAAAAAAAATTGTTTTTATTAAAAATCAGATTACTTAAAAACATGTTAAACGAAACCTGAACGAATTTGAGCTACCGGAAGCTAATTGAAATGTAGATTTATGCATGTAAACGGAGTTAATAAACAATAGAGAATTGTTATAACAATAATTGTAATTTGACTTGTTTAGAAACGGGTGTCATGTCACTCCAACACAAACGGAGGAACCTCCGAGCAGACGAGTTGGTGTTAGGTTGATGTTAGGAAGTTATGTATGGGATTTCCAATAATTGGTGCGAGAACTTTTATTGCGCGAATCAGGATTAGTAGTTACTTCGTAGTTCGGTGTATCTTCGTTAGATGGGGCTGAATTGTGTTTTTGATTTATTGTTTGTGGAAGTCGGAACTAGCTGGGCACGCTCGTATTATACAATCAGTATGCGCAATCAGTGAATTCGTTTTTGCTGTATAAAGAAATAGAACGTTAGGTGATTTTGCATATTTCGGTAAACCATGGTACCTTAAAAGATTATAAACAAAGATGAAAATCGCAATGATATGCATCACATTAGTTATAAAACGCAATTCGGCAGATTTCTTTTTTCAGATGAAGATTACGCTAGAAAGGGTAAAGTGATTGAAATGTAGTAGCGATGTTTTGGCGGAGGGGATTCAGTGAGGGTTAATCTTTACGACCCGGTATATCCCTCAGGATAAACCTTTAGAGGATATTGTCGTGAGTTCAATGCCCACCGAGGACAAGTACTGTGTGATGAGCACGGTCAATTGTTCTGTGTCTGGGTGTAATTTATCCATAATATGTATGTATTTAAAAATATTTAAGTATGTTTATCAGCAGTCTGGTTACCATAAAACAGGCTCATCCTAGTTTGGGATCAGCCGGCCGTGTGGCCGCGTCAATGAGAGAGTGAGGTTACCAGAGTTTAAACCCTTTATTCTGAGGGGAGGGACTAAAAGAACGACAACGCACTTTTGACGGCGGCAGTAGTCTCTTGTCATCAGGTAACTCGTCTGTTCGTTTGCCCTCCTATAACCTGAAAAGAAACTTCTTGCAGGTTTCAAGCTTAATAAAACGAGAGCCTTTCTTTGTAAGGATCGAATAAATTCATCGCAATGTGTCACAAGCCACGCCAAATTACAGTACCTACGGTATTCTAAAAAGCTGACAATTCAACTTCATATTCATAGAAACACCTAGACGAAAGCAAATTAGTCCTATCTATGCATACTAATTGCACTTAGTGAGAATCCAAGCGATCCAACGATGCAGTTTCATGCATTTCGCAGCGCCATACGTCCATCACGGTTTTGTTCAAAATATTAGTATATTTTAAACCAAGCGGTTGCCTGCGGCTTCGCTATTATTATTTCTTAATTCGTGTTACTAATTTTAAGAATGTCGAACTTCCATACAACTGGTCACATCTTACTTTACCCCCTTAGGGGTGAAATTTTGTAGGTAGCAGTACAATGTGTAAATTTTGAAGTTTGTAGCCAAAGCGGTTAAGGATTTGCGTTGATGCAGTCAGTCATTGCAAGTAATTTTATATGTGTAAATAGACAATTGATTAAGGGTTTGTGGCGACTTCCACATATAGTGAAACAAAAACATACTTCAGCGCCATCTAACGAAGACACTCCGAACTGCGGAGTATCTGTTAAGCCTGTATCGCGTTATGAATAATTATCTTGTCGATTAGCATATATTATAGTCACTTCGCCAGGTCAAAGGATCCTCCCCTTGTATTGGAGGGACACCCGTTCCTTCACAGGTAGCTACGTGACAACAGGCTTTTGCTGCCGTGTCATTCCCGTTTACATATCCAAGACCTGTTGTAACCCTTACCCTAGCTCTATCGCCTTATCCACTTTCTTTACATTCTTCTTTTGTCTTATTCGAAAACGATTAGGAGGGTTGGCGGCTAGAAGACAACTGGCCATAGGATAAAATAGGTTTAAAATCCTTTTCAATGATTTACCTAGCGCTGACTCCATATAAATTGGGAAAAGAGAAAGCAATTGATGATATAAGATTGGAACAGAAAGTTCTTACCCAATAGTACAATGTGCAGCAGTAAGAATCCATCTTTCGTTCAATATAGTACCTCCGCAGAAGTGAGAGTTGAACATACTCCTCAGTGACGCCTGATAAGGTACTCTGCCTTCTGGAGCAGAAATACCGCCAACTATACGCATTGATGGCTCATTCACATGGGGTGTACCATCTGGCAAGATGAACCCTGGAAAAAATATATGAGTTTGTTTTCAATGAAAAAGATTTTGATACTATACAATTGACTCTTTTTTTTTGTTTCTTTTCTTACCGGCTACTGTATTTCTTAACTAAAACTATACGTGTTATTTTTTAACAATTTGTCCTGTTGTCCTAACCGAGCGTAGAATGTTTTTTTGGTATTGAATTTGATTTGAACCATGAATATACTTAAATATTAAAGATTACTAATAATACTTTTGACAAAAATAGCCATCTACTGTGTCCAATTGTAAACCTAAACCACTCAAATACACGCAAATGAATTAAAAGTAAAATAAGAATCTTAAAAACGTTTTGCAGCGACATCTATAGGTCTCTCAAAAATCCAAAAAACACTGGATTCACTAAAGTACACGCAATAATAATTCTCCAAAATCGGTTCATCGGTTTAGGTGGAGTTTAGGGTCATAGATATGTAGAGATAAGCCTTGCGGTATATATCTGAGTATAAACTACACACAACTTTAGCTTTTTGTTGCACGCAAGATTTTTTTACAGTTTTAAACTTTATTTACATTTACAGTTAATACTACGTCAATCACACTATAGAGAAGAGAGAGACGCCAAGAGAAGGGGAGGATCCTTCGAGCTGGCAAATTGATCATGCCTTGATATTGGAAAGCTGTATACATATTAATTGTCGCGAGAATTTTAATTGCTCGAGGCAGATTATTAGTTACTCCGTAGATCGGTGTATCTAGTATGTTTCTGTTTCTTGTATGTTGAATTAGTCACAATACCGTGCTAATAATATGTTACAATGTAACTTATAGAGTTCAAAATTTATATCTACAGTGTCAGGTTTGCAATAAAGTCAGAACTAACAATCCAGAATAGAATCAGACTATAAAAACTCACAGCAACCATTTATTACGGCGGTAAAGGGCTTTACAACACAAGATTTGTACGCTACGTTAGATAAATAAACAATAAAACTTGGCCAAGCGTGTGTCAGGCTACTAACCGTGTAGGGTTCCGTATTTTATAACAAATTTTTTAATTATTTTTCTCCATTGATTATATTATAGATTTTATTTTATAACTTTGTCGACGTTATTTTTGATGATGATTAATACACATATTTATGTATAACAACATTTTTTTATCACTAACATTGTCTAAGTGATGCTTCGAACGAATAATTTCATTAGGACATAACGAAACTATAAGGGTCGCTTGGATTACCGAACCCTTTTTTTTCTTGCAAACAACCTAAAACCGCACGCCGTCTCGGGTACCAGTAAGCGGGGAACTAAGCGTACCCTAGAAAGGAAATCCCTGGTACCCCGACGTACCTCGGGCCATCCACGGCGTGTAGATAACTCTCTCCTGTGTGGGAACCCCCATGTTTGCTCTTTTGTGAGACAGTGGAGTGGACACTCTCGCTCCGTAACATGGCGGCAATCATACTACCGAGCGAGAGGACTCCCACTCCGATGGCCACCACGAGGTCACGCCTCTGTTCCACCCACGCCGAGCATTCTGCCAACGTGTGGAGGGCCGTGTCCACGGTCCGGCCACCGCAGTGGTGGCATTCAGGTGTTGGCAGACATAGGTGATGATTGGGATTTCCGGTCCTCTTGGATTCCGACTCCCGCGCCTCCTTGCGCTACTGCTACAGAGCCGCAAGGGCGCTCACCTGCAGGTCTCACGATGGAGTTCCGGCCAGGAGACTCGCCGCCTCAAAGGAGATCTTGCGGTACCCCCTTATGACCCTGATGCCCAGCACTCTCAGTAGTGCGACGTTGATGGCCTTCAGGGTCCCCGCCCATACTGGGGTCCCATAAAGGGCCATGGACCGCACAACCCCCGAGTAGAGTCTCCTGCAGGAGTCATCGCGTCCCCTCATGTTAGGCAGCAGCCGCATCAGTGCACGCTCTGCTCCAGCCAACTTGGGGACCAGACCTCGGAAATGAAGTCCGAAGTCCCATCGGCCATCGAGTACGAGCCCCAGATACCTCATCGAGAGCTCGATGCCGATGCGAGCGCCTCCTACTAAGAGGCTGGATTCCTCAGGTGGTTTCCTCCGAGGCCCCTAAAAGAACAAGGCTTCGGATTTGTGTAGAGCCACCTCGAGACCCAGCCAGATCCGTTGTACTACTGGATTTCGGAACCCTAAAAATTACATACTGTTTTAAGCTTGAGCGTATTAAATAAGGTTCTCTCTCAAATTAGAATAGTTAACCTTAACCCTGGTTCTTGGCATGGTTTTCGTAAATATTTGACAAAACAGACTGTTGCTATTGTATGGGTCGATCTATGACTCATTACGTAAGACGTCTTTCACGTAATGATGTCTCGAATGATTATAATCGTCATTTTAAACAGTTTTAAAATAATTTTATGAAATAAAGATATTTTTACTTTGACTTTGGCCGTGGTACTCCGGTCGTGAAGGCTCATTATGAACCGAAAAATGGTTCTACTATGGTAAATTGGACGTATGAAACCGTGTGCAAATGATATGTATATTGTATAGATACTGATTAGTTTCCAAGTTTCGAGAAAATAACTTAATAAAACTCGATTGTAATATTGTATAAATGAAGATATATTATTTTGCTGTATGATTTTGTAATCTAATAAATACTAAGTACTAATTTGTATGGTTTGTTAATTACAAACCTTCTGAACTAGTGTTTTGACGCATAAACGATAGGAAGTGACTGTGAATTTAGTACAACAATTTGATTGTTCAACTGTGATAGACGGCGCAATGGGGATATGTGTTGTCTCTAGTGGACATAATGAAATTATCTTCGTATCGCACACGAATATCGTTAGCAGTCAAATAGAAATAGGAGCGATTGGTACGTACAAATAGTTTTAGGTAAAACAATTAAATTTCTTAATTTTACGATACCCTCGTAAAATTAAGAACACGACTTTAATTGTGTGTGGAAGATCTATTTTATTCGAATACAACATTCACTCATATTTATGTAGATTCAAATGGATAGTAACTTCAAAGCTAATAGCAAAATGAATTAATGGGAGTTAGCTTCACTCAAGAACATGCTGTTAGCAGTTTTTGTAGAGTTCTTTTCAGAAAATATTGTCTGAGCTTTAAATGCGAGGAGTACTTGAATAGTGCTATCTAGACAAAAAATAACCATATCTTGTTCTTAATTTTTTTTCACATAAATATTTTGTTCACTGATAGCCTATGATATTAATGATTATTATTAAAGACAAGTAAACTAAAATTAATCTTACCATATGTCTGGCAGAACATAAATACCAATACGACTTTATACATTTTGATAAAACGAACGTTAGTTCAAACTTATCACACAAATGATTCTGAGATTTTCAATTAATAGCTGTCTTATATAAAGATAATTGAGGAGCACTCGAAATATTCTGTGAAATTATCAATGATACAACACTACAAATTGTTCTAAAACAATTACTTGGGTGTAAGAAACTTTGTTTTTCCTAATCTCTTTAGCGAAGTACTTCAGAATTGATTGATTTCATTGTCTACATGCCTTAAGATTTGATAAACTGGCATTATTTATATTGAAACAGTGAAACCCCATTTTGAGGAACTCTTGACTTTTGTTGTGAACATGAGTCCTTAACTTCACAGCAACTCTATATTTAGGTTTGGCGTAGCGGACTGCTACGCCAAAGGTCGCGAGTTTCATTCCCACTTAACTCAAACATTTGTGTTCATGAACTTTTAATGTTTGATTAGGTCTGGCTGTTTCTATGTATAATATGTAGGTATTCACAAAAAAAAAGTTGTAAATGTATTTTTATCAGTTGTCTAGTACCCATAGGATAAGCTCTGTTTAGTTTGGGACTAGATGGCATTGTGTGAATGTGGTAGAATATTATCATTTTTATCAAGAGACTTCACAAATTTGACTAAATCATCGCATTATTGTATGGCTTGTTGGTCTAATGGCTAGCGATCCTGGCTGCCAGCCAAGGGTCTTGGGTTCGATTCCCACGCAGGATGAATAGTTGTGTAATGAGAATGAAAATGATATGTCTGTGGGTGATTTATGTATAACGAATTCATAATCTAGATAAATTTTATTTTAGGGACACAGTGACTTGTGTAAAGAGAGAGGTAAGGTCTATTCTAATATTTTTATCCTGTATAAGCTAAGACAGCCGTATCTTAATAGCTTTTCTGTAAGATTAAATACACACACATAGTTAATTTAGTTTAATTGGTCTGAAAAATGTGTCCTAGAGTTATTTTTTCCCCCGGATGAAGCTATGAGGACACATTCAGAATGAATACTAATCATACCGGTCGGTTCCTATAAATCAAATGAATTAAAAATTCTCTTCATATTTAGTTTGTACTTAAAAACAATGTCACTAGTATATTGTAATTTGAAAAAAGGTGTCCTTGGAGATTCAAGTCTGTTTTTCTCCATAGGATTTACCTAGAATGGGCAACGATCGGTAATCCTGACTCAGTCTGATGGGCTCCTATTCCTGACAAATCAAAATTACCTGTAATTGGTTAATAGTTGGAATAATACTGGTAAATGGTAAAATAACAGTAATTCATTGGAATAAATGAATATAAAATTTAAAAAAAAGAGAAACTGATTCTAAGTGCTTATAGGAAGAATAAAATGTGACTCAGTTTCATAAAATCATCAATAAACGTTTTTAAATATTTTGCTGGATTTATATTTCCTGAGTATTTTCTGATAATTACATTACAATACATTGTCATTGTTTAAATTGCATATGGTCAGAGCAAGCTAATAACTTACAAGTAATAACATTTTAGAACATTCTACAGTAACTAAGCACAGCTGTACAGCACAGCACGGCAAATACTGTAGTGTGTATAAAAATAATAATAGCATAGCTCGAAATAGCT